CTTCTTCCCGGTGTGACACCTTCCCCGCCCCTCCCCACTCTGCTGTGCCTGGGTCTGGAGTCAGGAGTCTCTCTGGTTGGTTTATTCTGGAGACTGAACCTCTCGGTCTCCTACCAGATTGGGGGTGGGCTAGTTCGTTATCCACGGCTTATACAGACTTTCATCCAATCCTCCTGTTTTTAGTCCTTTCCCTCACCTCTGCCTTCTGTGGTACTTGATTTCTTCAGTTTTCAAATCTTTTTATTGCTGTGATGCAAATGCACTGATTTTCTCCTCTGGACGCTCTTAGATATCAGTGTCCTCTGCCTTGCTGTTCGATCCTTCATATTTGATAGTCCTTCATATCCTTCAAGTTTGATCCTTCATATTTATTTATTTTTAATTTTATTTGTTTTTACAGAGAGGGGAAGGAAAGGAGAAAGAGAGGGAGAGAAACATCACTGTGTGGTTGCCTCCTACACACCCCACACTGGGGACCCAGCTGGCAACCCAGGCATATGCTCTGACTGGGAATTGAACCTGTGACCCCTTGATTCACAGTCTGGTGCTCAGTCCACTTAGCCACACCAGCCAGGGCAGATCCTTCATTTTTAATCAGTTATCAATGATCTGGTCTTACTTTTTTCCTTTTACTTATTTATTTAATTTTTTAGAAAACAAAAAAATTTGACACCTTACCCTTTCAGTGATTTTTTTAATGTTAAGAATTTGATTAATTTATTTAATGTGTTTAAACATCAAGCTTATTCAATTTCAGAGTCTTAGAAGTCAGATATTGGGTATTATGTTCTGTGTGTACATGTGTGTATTTAAAAGAATTACCTACCATGCCATGTGCTTAGGCATTCAGTAAATTTATATTCAAAGAATGACTATATATAGGCTGTAGTTTTAATTGATTCATTCTTTAATTCTTAGGTTTTGCTGACCATTTTAGTAGTTGCAGTTGCTCAGCAAATGAGTAAACCCTATATTTCTGAAACTGAAAATATTATGGTGTTTAATGTGTCACTGTTAACAGAAGTCGATTGATCACTTGCAGGGTTTGTAGACACTGCATTATAATGCAGGTTGTTTTGAATAATATTTAGTCTAATCACTTTGAGATGATGTCTACCTTTCTTGCTAAGATGTCTTTTCTGCACTGATTTACCAGTTATGGGCACACTCTGTCCAATAGAACTTTCCTCAATGATGTAAATGTTCTGTTATTTGTGCTGTCCAGTAAATAGGGTATCCACAAGCCACATGTGACTTTTGAGCAGTTGAAATGTGGCTAGTGTGACTGGGAAACTGAATTTAAATTTTATGCAACTTCAATCATTTAAATTTAAGTTAAATAGCCACAGATGACTAGGGACTATCATATTGGACAATACAGTTTATAGATCTTTATTCTGATAGAATATGCTAAGTTTCTGATTTAAATATTTTATATTGCCTATCACTTGAATTAGTTTTGAATAAAATATCCAACTAAGGAATAGGACTTAGGTGAGTGACCCTCAGTTTTATTATAATTATTGTAAAAGTACATTTTCCTTTGTATTTACCTAAGAATAAATTCATGTAGCTTACAATCTCCAAAATGAAAGTAAAATGTGTATTAGGTTATTATATCATGCTTGTTTTATTTGGAATGTTTGGGGTACTGATGAGAGATTGAAAATGAAAATGAAAGGTGAAAATATTGTCTACTTTGGAACATTTTGGGGATTTTCTTCCATCCTATAAGAGAAGGGGGAAATACTGTTTGAATCAAAGCCTGGGTTGGTTTTAGACTTTTTATATTCTTGAAGACAGACATGGGAATGACTTGGTAATGTTTGCATTGTTAAAGTTTGGATGAAAGTACTGGGTTTGTGATATCAGACTTCTTGGTAAAGTACAGATTAATTTAGAAAATTTCTTTTGAATCAGGGATGAAGAGTAATTATAATAAATGCTGTAAAATTAATCTTTGGCTAACCAGAGTTATGCCATCAATTTAAGTCTATGGTAAGTTTAGTGTTGTTTTATTGGATGAAATTAAGTTAGTTATTTACAATAAAACAATAAAAAATTCATAGGATTGGAGGTATGGCTTTGGTTATAGAACATTATAATTTTGCTCAATCTTCTTAGTGAAGTGCAGATTTTTAGAACATTGATTAGTACAGTTGCCACTACGCATATAATTTAGCAAGATACAATGCCATATTTACTATTTTTTATAGTATTATGATTGTTAACTAACAACAGAATATTATTCAGAACTTCGAGAAGATAACATTATGCAGTACTTTCAAATTCTTTTTGTTCTTCTAAGGGTCTCAATTCCCTCTAAGTCCCTTATTCTTAGCAAGATGATTTGTCCTTTCATTTCTCAGAGAATGTGAACATACGCTCATTGTCTTGATCTCCCCCCTTATTGTACTGCAGTCGCCATCACTGATGCTCGCTGCCCCTTACATTACAATGGAAAAAGTGTCCTGTTTCCTGACAAAAACAGATCCCTGCACCCTTTTTACCCTCCCAAGGATCTTGCATGTCAGTTTTTCTGCCTGTTTCTTGTCATTTCAGCCTATTTTCACTGTTTTTTCTTTTGCACTTATGTTTTAATGAGCCCAACCTTTCATCATCCGTACAGATACAAATGTAATGGAAGGGAGCTGACCTTCCTAATTTTCCTTTCTTCTCATCCAGTCTCCTTGAAAAAGCTGTTTCATTTATTCTCTCTAATTCTTCTTTTCCTAGCAAACTGTTTTAACAAGCCTTCTGCATGATTTTGATGTGTGCAGAACTGAAGTTGGACAAGTACATCCCTAGTGTATTCTTATAGGTCAATCAAGAAGCTCACTATTATCACTATAAATCAAGAGTGCAGATGATAGTGGACTGTTAGTGTACACTTAGGCAGACACAGAGGAATCACCTTTCGTTGGGTGAGGTGGTGCTTAGAAAAAGTAATTGTTGGTCAGTTAGGATTAAGTTTGTCTGTGAGTGACAAAAAATTCAAATATAAGTTGTTGTTTTTTTTCCTGATAAACACAGGTAATCCAGGTTTGGTGACAACAACATGGCTGTCAAATACCCAGGCTTCTTTACTCTTGTTCTACCATCTTCAACATTGAACTTGAACTTCATGGTTTAGTTTGACTATAGTCATCCTTTAAAGGCACATTATAGTCAACAGGAAGGAAAAAAAATGTTCCTGTTTAAGAAACTTTTCAGCAGTTGCCCAAAACAAGTCCCAGTGATCAGAATTTAGACATTGGCCACACCAACTTATAAGGGAGCCAGAGAAATAAAGTTCCTATTTCAGGCAGCCATATGTGAAGATATAATTCATGAGTTCATTGTATAGAAGGGGGGAAACATGTATAGGGGGATAATTAAGAGCCTCTGCCACAATAAATTCTGAGAGCTCTGGTTACTCAGTCACTAAACCCTGAATGCTTATTATAAGTAGTGCACCATCTTTATGGTACCTATAGGAAAATGAGGGACATTGGAGCAGGGACAGAATTACAAAAAATTGAAATCTATTCCTTGGCTCTCTAAGATACTGCATTTACTTGGTGACATCAGACATGCAGATATAAGTTACAGAGCAATGTAGGAATCAGGGTGTAAGTAGAAGGAATCAGACTCATGTGGAGTTTATTTTTAGAGAGGAGCATTCCTAGAGGACTGGAGTTTTGGGAAGACAAATTTGAAGAAGAGAATTGACATACCTTTAAGCAAATGCAGCACTTTGTGTAAGATAATAATCACTGTTGAACACTCTTACTACTTTGCAAGAGTCTTAAGACTGATTTCCAATCTAGAACTGAGGAAGGAATTGTAATAGGCAGCCCCTATGAGAAATCTTTATTGGGTAGGATAGGCTAGTCTATTCATAATCTTAATATAAAATAAGTAATAGCCTTGTTATTTATTAATTTATTTCAGCTGACATTTGACTGCTATTTATAGTAGTTCCCTCAGTTTTGAAATAGATAAAGTTTGTTTTCTAATTTGTATGTGGTAATTAAAACCATTGTAAGCTATGCTTTCTGCAATTGAATAATTTTATAGAAAGAAGGTAGGTAAATTTAGTGAGAAAAACAGTCCTAGATGTCAGGTAAGTAAGTAACAAGGGGAGTAAGCTTTGAGAGTTATAAAAAGTAGTCGAGAGAACCAGTCAGAAGGCATATAGGTTTGGCAGTTTACTGACATCTTAAAAACATTTAAAGTTTATATACAAAAAACATTTTATATATAAAAAAGTTTATATATATAAAAACATTTAAAAGTCTATATATAGTCAATAGAATTTTGCATTTTTTCACTTAATTTTGTAGTGTGGATATCTTTTTGGTCATAGAAAATTCTCTTTTTAAAAGAGTGATTTTTTAAATTGCATAATATTCCATGGTTCATATTTACCATAAATGGTTTGTCTGTTCCTGTTCCTTATTGTTAGATATTTAAGTTGCTTATAAATTTTTATTACTCTAAATGAAGTGGAAATAAATGATATCTTTAATAAGTGACTAGTGAGAATAAAAACTACATGTTAGGATAGTTAGTATTATTGGGGAGAACTTTGAAGTAGCAGAAATAACATTTTGAGAGATTTTTCCTAAGGCAAGAATAGTGGAATTAAGAGTAATGCCTTATAAAATATGAACTTTTATCATCTGTTTAAGAAAATTAAAGCAGTATAAAGTATTGTTGACTTGCATAAACTAATACAGTAAAATAGATGTGGATAATTTACATTTTCTTCCTTAAATATATAAATGCTTAATCTTTATACATTTACTGTGTCTATGTTATATTGATTTTTTTAGTAGTGAAATAACACTTTATTTTTGTTTGGCATACAGATCTTTCACTTTCAGTAGATTTATTTTCTTCCAATAAAGTGGTACTATATTAGCCATTACTTAAGTTTAGAAAATAAATTTTTTAAAAGTTGTGTTCAAATATGCGTATGCTTTCATTAGGCTTACTATACTTATCTTGATTTACAGGCCTTTTTGCAAATGTGTAATCTGCCTATCAAAGTGGTTTGTAGGGCAAATGCAGAATATATGTCTCCATCTGGTAAGTTTTTTTTCTTTTCTATTAATATTACTGATAAGATTGTAGGGCTAATCCAGTTTGTACCTAGATTTTTAAAATACCTGTATTTTTGGCTTATCCTTTGAAAAATTTCCCCATAGTTTTATAAAATAACAGTTGCAAACTTGACAGTATTGGTGTGGGCGTGTCTGTGCATCTCAGCTCTGTGGTCAGAGATGGGTGGTTACTGGAAAGTTAAGGAATTGTTTTAAATAGTAGATATAAAGAAAATACAAAATTTTAGATTTTGCCATTCTTATTTACATAGGACTGTTTCCTCTTCACAAAACAAATTTATTATTAAGGAATCAGTTGTATTTTCTAAATTATAGTCTTTAAATTATATTCTCCCATTATAAAGATGGAAAGGGATTGTGAAATAATTAAATTAACTTTTCATAGATCTTAATGTCATCTCTGAATGTTTTTGGTTTCCAATTCTTTTTGTTTTAACAGGCTTTAAGATACTTTTTATTAAGATTTTAGTCTTTCTGCTATTTTTCATAATCAGTATTGCCTTTCTATGTGTCATGTATTAGTAAAGTACAGTTTAAAATAAATATGATTCAGATAATTTTTAATATAAAATATAATGCCACAAATCTGATAAATAGATGTTAAGTAGCATTGATATGGATTATTGTTAACTGTGTTTTTTCTGGAGCAATAGTAACAGAATTATTTCTTTATGAATAAATCTTATTGAATATAACTGATGGGCCTAAGTGTGTTAATTTGTTTTTTAGAGAAACATTTATCTGTCTCTTCATTGTAATCATAACTTGTGTTAAATGTTTTTCATCTTAAGTTACTAAGGGCAGTAATAGTTGTCAAAAGCTGTGAAGATGCTCTGCATATACACTGGGAATTCTAAGTGAATACGTCTATAACGGGTGGGGCAAAAGTGGGTTTACAGTAGTTTGTATGGAAAATATATAATTAACATAATAATTGATGTTATAATTAATAATGATATGATTAATATAATAATCACGGCTTTATGAATGATTAAATTTTAGTACCTTTTCAAAAAATAGAGGAATAAACTGTGTTTCATGTACTCACAACTATAAACCTACTTTTGTCCTACCCTGTATTTATAGGTTTATGAGTATGCATTTTAAGACATTTACATGAAATAATTTCTAGAATTATAAGCATAGACATTTTAGATTCTTGAAGGCCATTAATTGACTTATTTTGTGGTAATTTTATACATAGGTTTTGTAAACTTCACTGAGTTCTGGAGAAGTGAATTGTGTTGCTTCCATCTATCTTTTTCCTCTATGTCGTCATACAAAGAGTGTAGAAATACATATGAAATGATTAGTAATCTAATACTGGAGTTGATATTTTAGGCAAATAAGGAGAAACCATATCTACCTGTTTCCTAAAGTGACTATACTAAAGTATCACCTAGGTAGATATTTTATAGACAATAAAAGACAAACAGATACATACTGTAAAGACTACAATAATATATATATATATATATATATATATATATATATATATACACACATTCATTCATAGGAGGGGTTTTCTAAGTAGATGAAGATGAGACTTTCTATTAAGAAATTTAAATGTTATATCTCTAGATGTATTCTCTTTATCATATGATTTGGAGTGATCAGGGGAATGTGTTACATTTCATTTGTTGTAGAAAATTTTTAGAGCAGAGAGCATCATGGAATAGTCAGAAGACTGTTTGGCTAAGTTTTTAGGAAATTTTTACTCAAATCTTTTTGTGAGTTTGCTGCATATTAACAGTTTCTTTGGGAAATTTGACTTCTCTTTTTTAGGCACTAGTGATTTCATCTGTAATATGGGATGGTTGGATTAGATGACATCCAAGGTCTTTTCTTTTTTTAACATTCTCTAAAGGTACACACTTGGTTGGCAACATCTTCTTGCTTTCTTTCGAAATACAAGTTCTGAAAATGATTTTTCTTCCTCAAGTGATTATTCTGCCTATTTGTTTTCTTTTATAACCTTTGGTTGGTGCCAGAGAATAACTGTCTTATTGTGCTTTTGCCTGATAATAAGGATATGACATTGGCTCCACTTTTACTCGGGCAGGTAACAGGAAGCATTATTCACTTCTAATTTGTTGCCTTTTGTATATCTCTCTATATTCAGAGGCATATAATTGCTCAGTTGACTACCGACACTACTTCCCTGTTTCAGAATCTACAGTGCTCAAAGTATTTTTAAGAAAAGAAATAAAATGGAACCACTTTCTTCCAAGAACCACAAACTGGTTATTGAAAATGAGAAATACACTTTGTTCTCAAAATGTTACACCTCAGAAATACCCTTTAGTCTGGGTGTTCATTAATACATAGTTTTCATTTTCAGATTACTTTATGTTGGAGGACCTGAACTATTTCTAGCAGTATAGTAGTTACAAAGATTTTTTATCCCAAGTTAAAAACAACATGCTTACACAGATAAGAATTTTTTTATTTATTGCAAGATTTATAATAGTAGAAGAAAAGAATGTGGAATTCAGTGTTTCTGTATTGGTAACATGGATATGTCTTCTAAATACATCTATTGAGTTGTTGTGTTCCAAAAGGCCTGGCTTTCCTTTGTAGTGTGTTATCCTATGGATGCAGATGATGCTTTTGTTGGTGCTCTGCACCTCATCCATTACCCTCAGGCTGACTGAGCCAGAGAGGAGTGAATGTATTGAAAAGGACCATGAAGAAGCCTGCTGTTAATGTGAACTCTATTTGAACTAGGCCTGACAGCAAGGTTTATTATCTAGTTTTGGGGGTGAACTTTATTTCTATTTGGAGACTATTTTATTCTCATCATCTCTGATAATTCCATCAACTATAAGTATTTATAGAAATGAAATAATTTTTAATGTGTTTATCAATATTTAGAGAAGCCAGTTTTTATAAGCATCCTATTGGTTCTTTTGTCCCACGTGTTAGGAACATACTTTGTATTATAATTCATAAACTAACATGTCTTCAAGGATTGTTAATTCTCTTCCTGATATTTCTGATTCAGAGACATTTATTAATACACCGTTATGTGCTTAAAATATTGACCTTAATGAGGACCTGAAACTTGGAAGTAGAAGATGTAGAAATAAATCTTCTTAAATGTAATTTTTAATATGGATTGATTCATTATACTCCAAAGAGAAGATCCAGTTGAATTTCTTTGAAATCTATCAGTGGTCATGGACCATTGTCTGGGCTTGTTTTATATAATTTTAATAAATAATATTTATAGCTATATAGTGATTTGTTAGTGTTAGCTCTGAAAAGGGAATATTGTGGTCTGTTATATATACGTGAGAACTCTGCAAATGAATAATTCAAATTGTTCTTCTTGCATTTTAAAATTGGTCAATATTCAGTGTTTAAAAATTTATAGAATTTAACATCTACATTTACTGTAATTTTCAAAAGTTAGAGTGTTGTGAAATTCTGCTTTAATGAAACATATCCCAGTTTTGTGTTGATTTCCTATGTTTATTAGTGCAACCTTTAATTTACTAAAAGTGTTTTCACACATTTTTTTTTCCTCAACAGGTAAAGTACCATTTATTCATGTAGGAAATCAAGTAGTATCAGAACTTGGTCCAATAGTCCAATTTGTTAAAGCCAAGGTAATAAAAAAGATATTAAATGCATTTGATCACAGCCACTCTTAAATAAGTCAGTCATTCATCATTCTTTAGCATGACTTAACATTTACATTGATTTTAACCTGGTTTTTTAAAGTGCCAATATAAACTACTAGAGAAATATTTCTAAAATATTATTTTATAAAGATATTACAAATCAATGGCAAAAGAGGTAATTTGATCTTTATAAAATGGTAGATAATTTTTTAACTTAAGAGAATTTTGGTCATAAATGAAAACTGTTAGGTTGTTAAAAAAATGTCAACTTAACCTTTGAGAAGGGAGACATAGGATCTGTTAGAAGTCAGATATATTAATTTGTCTATTTGAATTATTCAGTTTAGATTTTAATAGTTATTAAAGAGCAGCCTCCATTAACATTTTGGAGAAAATTCTTCCAGACTTTCTTTTTTCTTTGTATACATAGAAAAGCATAGATCATACTATTTTTAGTTATTTTGCATCCTGCCTTTTAAAATCATCAATGTGTTTAGAAATTCTTCCATGTTGATTACTACATACACATACATACATACAGATAAAATATATATATAAATATTTGTGTATAAATTACCCTTTTAAATTGTGTAGTATTCTATTATTATGGATGTATTATAATTTATTAAGTCCGTATTGATAGACACTTAAGTTGCAAGTTGTTGCCAGTTTTTGGTTGTTATTGAGTGCTGAGGTAAATATTCCTGTACATATACCTTTGTACACTTGTCAGACTATTTCCTTAGGATAAATCTTGAGAGTGATATTGTGATGTTACAGGATATGCATTTTTAAAATCTTAAAACAGATTGCCAGATTGAATTAAAGGTTATATCATTTTATGTATTCACTCATTACTATAGTGCATTAGAATTTAAAAATTAGCATCCATTTCTCTATCATTTATTTATTTTAGACCACTTTATAAGCAACATATATGTCAGTCTTTTCGCATTTATTAGTAATAAGGTTAGTCTCTTAAAATAACAGTTTACTAACCATTCTTGTTTTCTTCTTTTGTGAAATAATTGATAATGTAATTTTAGCCATTGAAAGCATTGTTTTTATCATCGTAAATATTACTTATTAATATTTTGTAGCAATAGAATATTAACTATTTTTTCATATAAAATAATTATCTTTTTGGAGGCAGTTTGGAAATTAATTCCATTGAACATTTGCAACAAAGAGATTTATGCTATATTCCTTGGTAGTAAGATAACTGAAAGTTTTTGTATATTTAACATGATGCTCTTGAATTTTTTTAAATTCCCTTTAGGGCCATTCTCTTAGTGATGGGCTGGATGAAGTCCAAAAAGCAGAAATGAAAGCCTACATGGAATTAGTCAACAATATGCTGTTGACTGCAGAGGTATAATAGAAGACAATAGGTCTTGAAAATCGCTTTTTTTAAAAATAAAAGATAATCTTTTCTTATGGGTTATTTTAAAGTTAAGCTGTTCTTGGGCTAGGATGCTCACCCAAATTATTTGAACACTATCTTTGAACAGATTGCCTGACAGTTTCAGTTCTAATTTTTCTTTTGTAAAAAGGAGTGATTCTTGCCCACTTGTTTTACTTTGGCATGTGAAGTTTACTTAAATAATAGCTATAAAGTACTTCAATGCTATTTAGAGATGTACTATATGAATAAACAATGTTTTTATCAAGTACCACTATCAAATTTAATAATTATGTGTAGCAACAGGAGTGAAGAAAAAAACCCTCATACATATGTTTTTTATAAAGTTGGCTCATAAAAAATCACCATGGCAAGAAATAACTTTCTATCCATTTTCTCTTTTGTATTCTAAAGTTTAGTGACTGTTTCTTTTGTTTCAGTTGTATCTTCAGTGGTGTGATGAAGCTACAGTAGGGGAGGTGAGTGGTTCTGCAGCATTTATCTTAATTAAAATTTAATGAGAAAACACTTTTGCTCAGAATTGTAAGTCCCTGCTCATAAATGAAACATTGTGGGTTTATACCATTAGTGATATAGTTTTTCACTTACTTTAATTTTGCTTGCACATACATTTTAGGGAAGCTATGTGTCATTGTTTGATATAAATGGTTGCAAAGTACATATAAGTTTATATATTTTTAAAGGGAATGTTTTAAAAATTTAATTTTTCAGCTTATGAGCTCTGTATTTTTTTTCAGATTGCTGTATTTGTGTTCTCTGACAATTTATTTCCCTGAAATTCTATTTGTAAAGTCTTTGTTTTTAGAAAGAATCATGTTTTTAACAAAATCTTTTTGCTTTAGATCACACATGCTAGGTATGGATCTCCTTACCCTTGGCCCCTGAACCACATTTTGGCCTATCAGAAACAGTGGGAAGTCAAACGTAAGATGAAAGCCATTGGGTGGGGTAAGAAGACTCTGGACCAGGTCAGTTCAGACTGAGGTTCTCAAAACCCTTAATGCATTTAAGATAAACCTTTAATGCATTAGAAATAAATTTTAAAATATTGATCGTCCTTTAGAAAATCCCAACATAATAAAAAAGTAACAAAACAGTTGCCCTTATTTTCTTTGACATGAAATAGTTTTGCTTTATAAAATTCACATACTTATTGTAAAATAAATTATATAATACTGAAAAGTCCAAAAAGGACATAAAAATTGCCTGAAATCCTTCCACCTAGAATCGCTACTGTTAACTATTTGGAGAACATTTTTCTGGATGTCTCTTGATAACATTTTCCTTAAATGGGATCATATTATACCTGCCACTCTATAACCTGATATATTCAATACATTGTGGGTATCTTTTATGCCAATAAATATTGATCTGCAGCATTAGGGCTTTAAAAAAAAACCTGTTAAATACAGTGTTTAATCTCTCTCTTTTTTGTTGTTCTTAAATTTACTGAAGTAGCCAGACTGAAAAATAAAAATCTTGTCAAGGTCATGAACATTAGGCATTAGACTGCTTAGTGTCTCTTTTCCACAGCCACCCCCAGCCCTAGGCAGCCAACTCGCTCTGTGTGCCATCTGCCGCAGGGGGGTGGGTAAATGAGTAGGGACGGGGTGAGTAAAATCCATCTCCTCTGGTGGAAGCACAACTGAAATGCTTTGCTCATGGTGGGTCAGCAGTGTCATCTTCATTAGGCAGGTTTTTAAAAAATACATGTAAAGTCATTGGAGTATATGGGTTCAGGGAAACAGTTTTTGTAGGGAGTGAAATTTTGAGGTAAAAACTTTCTTTATAATAATTCTTATAAGTAACTTAATTGTACTTGTATTTAAAGGAATTTAGCTCTCCAATTTTCTTTGTATTTCCTCTATAGAAAGTATTATTTATATTATATGTGACCTATAGTCTGACTGAAATACATTGTACAGGATTACCTGAACTTACCTTTTTGTTGTAAATCATAATATGACTTGTTTTAGACACATTTTACTGTTTGCTAATTGAGATGTTTTCCTTTGGGCTCTGGCTCTGTCAGGTCCTGGAAGACGTGGACCAGTGCTGTCAAGCGCTGTCCCAGAGACTGGGAACACAACCGTATTTCTTCAATAAGCAGTAAGAAATTTTAGTTTTTAAGTTAATTTCTTTCTATATTGTTAGGTTACAAACTTGTTTTATCATAGAGGAATTGTTTAATCAAGGGATGTTTGAAAAAATTTAGTTATATTTAAACGTATTTTTTTCCTTTATTAAACATTTAGCACCTCTTGAGTATCAGGCATAGTGCTAGGCTCTGGGAGACTGAGATTCTAAAATGTGGCTTTTACCATTAAGAATTTCTCTTAAGGGCAAATATGTAAACCAGTCATTAGTGTACCACACGATAGAGGTTCTCCTAGAGGTAGTTCCCGGGGCTATGTAGGGAAATATGACACCTTAATTAACAGAATTCTAAATTTGCAAAGTACTATTAGAATGTGAAGTATAACTACACTTGTCTGTATAGGGTGATACCCTAGGGACTAGAAAAGTGAACACAAGCAAACAAAAAAATAATGTTGGGTGGACCAGCATAATCATGAGCTTGTCTTTTAAAAGTTAGAATATTTGTAAAGCACAGAAATGAATACAAAGGATACAGATTAAATATTTATGTACATAAATTAATTTGTTTCACTAAGACAGGTTTTATTTTTTTGGTAATTTGGAAAGGAATAGTAGAGGCAAAGAATGAATTTTTTAAAATTTAAAGTTATAATTTTAGCTCTGCCTGGTGTAGCTCAGTGGATTCAGCGTGGGCCTGAGAACCAAAGGGTCGCGGTTCGATTCCTAGTCAGGGAACATGCCTGGGTTGTGGGCCAGTTCCCAGGGGGGGACATAGGAGAGGCAACCACACATTGATATTTCTCATCTTCTCTCCTTCCCTTCCCCTCTAAAGATAAATAAATAAAATCTTTTAAAAAGTTATAGTTTTAGTGTATCAAAGTCAGCTATCCTGTGTAAGATAGGCATTTAATCTCAGTGGTTTGCTTAGAAATTCTAACCTTTTTCTTCGCTTTTTAATATTTTGTGTTTTAAATGGATAACTTTTATAAAGCTTTATTTTCTATTATTTATTATTTATCTTTATATGTATTCATCTGCTATAGCCATATCCAACATCATATTGTAGAGAGATTAACATTTGTAGCAAAAATGACTGATAGGTTGTAATATTTAAGTTATATTAGTTTATACTACATGTAACTGATATGAAAATAAAATTGGAGTCAGTTGATCTCTCAAGAAAGCTCTGGGAGTTCAAAAGCTCAGAAATGTGTTTCGTTGTTTGCAGTGCATCATTCTGTGTTAGGAGTTAGTTTTGTTAGACACACTGTCTTCGTGGGAAGCAAGCAGAATAGATCTAACTTATTTTTCTTATTTAAACTCAGTGTCAAAGTAACATTTGACATGTGATTTAGTGGAAATATTAAAATATTTTTTCTTCATGAAGGTACAATTATATTTAAACTTACAATGAAAAATTAAAAATCTAGAATGGTTGTAAAACTAAAATTCCCTATTAAGAAACTGTTTAACTGATATTAAGATGTAGGTTTTGGAAATAATTTTATCTTATATGAAACCTAGATAAACAGTTTTCCTAATGAAGTTATGACTAATGAATGGAATCGATTGTTTTTAATTTTACCCAATTGTCAATTAATATTAGCATTCAAGTAAACTTTATTTAGGAAAAAGTAACTTGGTATTTTAACTTTGTCGTGGCAAAATTTTTCTTATTCTTTTATCTGTGGCAAGGGTGTTTGCTCTGTGAGACGTGGCACCTCAGTGAGGAGAGCGCTTGGCTCAAGTCAAGGTAGATGGTGTTGGATTCCCAGTCAGAGGCCCTGAATTCTGTTCTTGGCTCTAACAGACACCAGACTATGGCAGGTCACCTTATTTTCCGGTGTGTCCTCCCTTTACCCTCTTAATCTAGAATCAGTTTTTCTCCTAGTTTCTCTACCTGGGGAGGATGCTGAGAGGGCTCATGAAAGAAACCTCTAGCTTCACTTGGTGAGGAAAGGGAAAGGGTGGCTGAGGGACGTCTTGTAGCAAGAACAGTAATTGGGAAAAGAGGACAAAGCTAAATGGTGGAACAGGAAAAGAAAAATGAATTTGAAAAAATATTACAAATAATAAAAGGTAGATACTAAAATATTTGGCCTTTGTTTCCTTCAAAATATATAGTATTGGTAGCTTTTAAGTATTAAATCATATTTCAGAAATGCAATGAAAGCAAAATCTATACTGTGCTAGCTTGCTGATATGTGATATCTAGTAAGATATCGCCTACACGAAGACTACTAAGTCATTTGTTCGCTTCAAGTATAGAGTTGGAATGAAAAAATGAAACTTTCCTTAAAGTGATACTTCTGTGTGACCTTTTTAATAAAGGGGAAGAAAAAATGGAAAAATATATTTTCTAAATATAATTAGGATAGAAAAAATTACCGTGTTCTGAAGCATTTATGAGCTCCTCGCAGGTTCGTGTTTTCCAAACAGAACCTCTTACCTAGAAGAATCTCACACCTTGATTAAAACTGGGTTAAGTTGAAGAGAAATTGGAAAAGGAGTTAAAAAATACTGCTAGTAACCACTGAGTAAGTGGTGAAATTTGAAAAGATACCTTCCTATATAGGTGGGAAAGTATATTGAAGATGAAAAATTTCAGGGAGGAATAGGATTTTATTGAGGTTTATTTAATTAAGAAATCACCAGTTAAGAAAATTAATGGGAAATAGTTAAAAATATCCAAAGACAAAATACGGAAAACTTTGATGGCAAGGGGCTAGATTTACAAACTTGAATGATACTCCTGAAGATTAGTAGCCAGGATGTAAATAAAGGGTATGTATATTATTTCTAGTAGTATGAAGACACAACAAGTTAGTAGTGTAATTGGAAAAAAGATTAGGGAACAGTCGGCCAAAATTAATATTTTTGAAACTAGACTGTGAAAGGTATCAGAAAGAAAAAATATGGGATCACAATAAAGCAAAAAAGATGAGTGCAAAGAGATTTTTAAGGGGAAAGCTTAGGAAGACATTCACATTTTACAGTATTGTTTTTATTTTAATAATCACATGAAACTAGATAATGAACAAAAACGTGGAAGGAATGATAATGCAAGATAAGAAGGCAACAAATTGCTTTGGACTTTAAAAACATATTTGTCACCCTGGAATACTTATCTAGTAAAAAGTCTATAAAGAGCCCTGGCTGGTGTGGCTCAGTTGGTTTGGCTGGGCATACGAAAAGTCGCTGGTGCGATACCTGTGCAGAGCACGTGCCTGGGTTGCCTGTTAAGTGCCCCGTCCCAGCAAGTGAAAGAGGCAACTGATATTCCTCTCTCACTTCAGTGTTGCTTTCCCTCTCTTTCTCCCTCCACCCCCCTCTCTCTAGAATCAGTAAAAGAAACAAAATGTTTTTAAAGTCTATAAAGATAAATGCAATAATATATATGAAAGATGTCAGAAGTCTTAGAGGGGAGTTGCTGTCAATATCCAAGTCACAATCCACCAGCTGCTGAGTTAGCAGGAGGGCAGGAATGCTGTTTTCTCTCCAGGTGGTCTAGGAAAGGTAATTAAAACTGGAAGTACTTGAAGATGTTGGCTCCATTAAACAATTCAGTAGAAATATTAGGTCAGGTGTGTTGTTTTGTGCTTGTTTCACATCCGTTGCAAATATTTTTCTAAGTTTATTGCTTTTTTTTAAAGTCAGGTTTGTTACAATCTAATTTACATATAGTGAAATTGACACTTTAATGTGTATAGGTCTGTGAGTTATAGCAATAGCATATAGTTGTGTTAACCACTAGCATAGGAAAGACTTGAGGTAATTAGTAACTTACATGTATGTCAGAGTCAATATATATAAGTAGCTGAGATTTGTAAGGATGAAAACAAATATGTTTTAAAATTTGTGTGTGTGTTTTGTTTGACTTTGTATATTGTATTCTGCTTCCTATTAGATGTTCTGAAATAACTGCCACAGGCTGCTACCTTTATGTAACTTTAGATCAGTTTTGTATGCTTGTCTTCTATATGCAATTCAGCACCTTTTGAGTTCCGTGGATGTGTATCTGCAGCTAATAACATTATGACCACTTCAGGGGCACTTCTAGATCACTCTAGGTTAGAGGTACATGTACACTTGAACTTATTCAGAACCTTCACTTACTGAGAAAGGACATCCATCTACATTGTTGGATGTTTCGTCAGGGAATAAATATATTGACCTTTCATCTAAGAAGCAAAGGGTACTTAACCCTAAAAAAAGGATTAGGAAAATAAATTCTGCATTGGTGAGATAAGATTTATCTTTTAAGAAATTTGTTTAGGATATGGTAGAGTTGGTGTTTATATTACTTGTCGCAAAGCGCCTCCACTCTACATTTATCCACCTTCTACATCCGTGATTCTTTTCAGGGACCCATTGTTATTGATAGTTTAGTGATAGGGTCCTGGTGCTATTAAGTTCAAGGACACTTGTGGTTTTTTAAAACTATCCTAATGTCTGCCCTTTTAAACACGACCATAGACTGTATTTCTGACTTTGATTAAACTTTATAAATGTGTCAAAAGAAAGAGAAGGCTTTGAAAGATAAGTATTATTGAAAAATTAAGTCCTCTACACACCATAGGCAGGATGCTTTCTTTTCTGTTTCATTTATTTATTCAGCAAATACAGGTTCAGTTCCTTAGATATTTTGCTAAGAACTGGGTATTTAAAGATATGTGCAGTGTTACCTTTAAATAGCTTGGAGTATAATGAGGGTGGGGGTTGTTAAATAAACAGTTACAGTGTGGTATGAGAAGTACATCACCTTTTATTGATTTGTTTAATGCAGGATTCTGGAGTTTAGGGGAAAGTTTAGGACTAGAGATAAATATTTGGGAATTAGTGGATGAACTGCACGAGTTCGTTCATCAGCAGTGATCAAGGCCACATAGCCAGTGAGTGGCAGCAGTAGGATTCACACCTGGATTTGATGGATCCCCAGGTTTCTTCTGCCAAACAAGATTACTGTGACATTTTCACTCAGGTGGGCTAACACATGTTTTCTTAAAAAGCTTATTACCATGGAGCTAACAGCAATAATTAGTTCAAAAGTTGAGATATTTTCTCCTTTTTATAATATTGTGCTAGCAGTTATTTTAATGCACTATAGATTGGTGATGCCCCATTTATAGATCATTAGTGGTGAGGTAGACAAATTTCAGTGTTTTGTTAGTAATACATAATTAGGGGGAAAATTCTAGACAAGTTTTTATTGAAGCCATCTTCACGATTATGTCTCTTTTAGAAAGCTAAGTTACTTTAAAATAGGTCAAATTCAATGAAATCATATTGTAATCATTTTTATAGTATATGATTGCATAATCAAGTACAATCGTGTTGTCCCAACACCACAGAAAAATCCTCTGTGCTTTGATAACATTTTGTTTATGTGTAGATTAAAGCACTTATTAAGTCGTGTTGTGTGAATCTGTGTTTTGCGTCAATGTCTGAGGATAGCATGTTTTTATATCTAGCATCTGGCACAGTTTCCAGCGCATTGGAGACCTTCTATATTTATTTATTTTTTTAAAATTTTATTTTAAAAAATATTTATTTATTTTTAGAAAGAGGGGAAGGAAGGAGAAAGAGAGTTAGAGAAACATCAATCTGTGGTTGCCTCTCATGTGGCCCCCACTAGGCACCTGGCCTGCAACCTAGGCATGGGCCCTGACTGGGAATTGAACCAGCAATCCTTTGGTTCCCAGCCCGCATTCAATCCACTGAGCTACACTGGCCAGGGCAAGACCTTCTGTATTTATTTAGTGAACAAATTAATGAATAAAATGAATATGATCGATTATACCAATATTATTTTAAGACATTTAAATAATACTACTGCTTCAAAAAGCAAGTCACACAACCAGCAATTAATAGTTTAAAATACTTTTTTTAATCTTATAAAAAATTCTGTAACTTAAAACAATGAATTCTATCAAGTTGGGGTGGGATTTATTTCTTTTCTGTGATTTTTTTTTCAATAGATGAGTAAATGTTGTGAAAAATGTTATAGATCCCACCATACAAGTTGTACCGTATTTATGTTGCTCTCGTTTCTACTTTGGTTCTAGGCCCACAGAACTAGATGCACTGGTGTTTGGCCATCTCTACACTATTCTGACCACACAGCTGACCAATGATGAACTTTCTGAGAAGGTGAAAAACTATAGCAACCTTCTTGCTTTTTGTAGAAGAATTGAACAGCATTTTTTTGAAGATCGTGGTAAAGGCAGCTCATCTATCAGATTGTCTTAGAGTTATGTCTTAAGTTAGTTATTATTATAAAAAATTTAACTTTTGAAATATATGTTACTTGAATGACATAATAATGGTATCAGAATTTTAAAACCAAAACACTGCTTTTCGAAACCTCAGACACAAGTTATATAGTGTATCGTATACATGTACTTTATGCTGTTGTTTGTGTACACAGTAACTGAAATAATTCTGAATGATTTCATTTGATATGTTGAATTCTGTATCTTGAATGTTTTGTTTTCTTGAAATGTATGCATATAAAAATAAACCCTTAACAACTGTATGGCTGGTATATTTACTCGATCTTTCTGAACGCCACTCTCTTTATACATGGAATGAACAGTGTCTTTTCTAAGGCAACTAATTTTTGTTCCTACTCCCAAGGTTACTTTGCTAGATACATGGTAAACCTGGTCACAGGAAAAATGTTCTGAACACATATGCTCTTGGAAAAATGGCTACAAAGTGACAAAAATGATTACAAGGTGATTAAATCTTGGAACAGATGATCACTTAAGAGCATTCATATCTAAATTCATAACTTAATTGAATTTAAAAACATTACATCAGAGCAACTATAATTTACATTTGATAAAGGGAAAGTTTCAAGAACCTTATTCTTTGAAGCTTTTTATTTTGAGATAAGACTATTTTACTTGTTTTTTTAAATATATTTTATTGATTATGCTATTATAGTTGTCTCATTCCCCCCCTTTATTCCCCTCCCCCTGCACACCCTTCTTCTTAGTTCATATTTATGGGTTATACATATAAGTTTTTTTGCTTCTGCATTTCCTATACTATTGTTAACCTCCCCCTGTCTATTTTGTACCTACTATTTGTGCATCTTATTCCATGTACCTTTTCCCCATTCTTCCCCTGCCCACTGATAACCCTCCATGTGATCTCCATTTCTGCGATTCTCTTCCTGTTCTGGTTGTTTGCTTAGTTTTTGTTTTTGTTTTTTTAGGTTCAATTGTTGATATTTGTGAATTTGTTATCATTTTACTGTTCATATTTTTGATTTTCTTTTCTTGGATAAGTCCCTTTCTTAGAACTCCTTGAACTTGACCTCATCTGGGAAGCACTTTATCTGCCCTTCCATTCTAAATGAAAGCTTTGCTGGATAAAGTAGTCTTGGATGTAGATTCTTGCCTATCATGACTTTGAATACTTCCAGCCCCTGAGACAAGAATATTTTAATAATGCTGTTTTATTACAATAATCCTTTTGTAAGAAAGAGAGGATAGTTTTTATAGAAGTATCAATAAGAGTTTATATATAAACACTAAAGATTATATGTTGTGTCTCTTTCAAATTGTCTAATATTTTATATAAAACCAGGGATTCTATAAAGAGTCAGATCTGAAATGAAAAGCAGTTAATACTTTTTTTAAATGTTCAGGCTTTTAAATAGGAAATATCATTATCTTGTTTATCATGCTAAATACTTGATGTTTTAAATAGACTTGAAAATTAGTTAATAATCTATGATACAGTATTCCTGCATGTTAGGTGGTAATTTTTTAAATAACTTTAACACATTGATCGTATAAGGAGACCCAAATGTATCATGTACTGCCAGTCACTTGATTATATGATGTTGAAAGTTGTTTTCCAACCAAAGACACTAACAGATTAGGCATACATTATCTGTTCCATTGGAGAATTTAGAAGTGTTGAGTTTCTCATTGGACAGCCCAAGAAACATTATGTCGATTTCTTGGATATCCAGGTAGTCTTTATCTCTTGGTATATTCTTATTTCGTCACTAGATTAATACTCTTGAGAGTTAATTTCTAATAAAATTTTGTTTACATTCCCTAAAGTGTTTATTTTTAGTCATTCAGCCCCTTATCTCTGGGAGCTTATTTGTTGAGCTTACAGTAGAGGCTCAGCCCATTGTAATTGAGTGAATTTAGGTTGTGGATAATCTCTAGTATTTGAAAATTAAAGAACACTTCAAAACAACCCAAGGTGAAGGATGAGATCACAAAAGAAATTAGAAAATATTTTGAATTTAGGATGAATGCAAATATACCCAAATTTGTGGGATTTAACTTAAGCAGTGGCTAGGAGGAAAAGTGTAGGATTAGATATTCATATTAGAAAAGGAAAAAAAAGTTTACAGTTATCTCAGCTTCTACCTTTAAAATCCAGAAAAAGATGAGCAATTAACTCTTACATAAGTACTATGAAGGAAATAATAAAGAATGGTAATAAAATAGGAATTATAAAAACAATAGAGAAAAGGACAGGACACAGAAAACCAGTACAATCCTAGCTAATTCAATGAAGGGTATGGATAGTTTTTTAGACATTGTTTTGCAAAATTCAATATCAAATGGAGAAGAAACAAATCTTACCTCAGCCATACACAAAATGGACTCAAAATGTGTTATTGATCTAGTGTAAAAGTTAAAACTTTAAAACATTTAGAGTAAAACACTGGGGAGAAGCCTTTGTGACCCTAAAGGTAGGCAAAGGTTTTGTAGGTAGAGCAGGGAAAGCACTTACAAACAAAGCCAATGTTGCAAAATAATTTTTGGTCTTCATCAGAATTCAAAACTTCTGCTCTTCTAAAAACACTTTATAAAATGAAGCCTTGCCACAGACTAGGAGGAAATATTTGCAACAATATATCTAAGAGTTAGAAGGACTCCTAGAACTTATTAAGGAAACAGACATACCAGGTTAAAAAGCAAGCAAAAAACTCACATGGATATTATAGAAAATAATGTATAAATGGCTAATAAATACATGAAAACAAGCTTACTGTCATTAGTCATCAAGTAAATGTAATTAAACCACAATGAGATACCACAACATATCATTACAATGGATGTAGTGGAAGTTTGACATTACCAAGTGTTAGCAAAGATGTGGAATGGTTAGAATTCTCATGCATTGCTGGGTGAACATTAGTGCAAGCACTTGGAAAACTGGCAGTTTCTTAAACATATGTTTACTAACCACTGAGCAAATCCACTTAAAGTATTTTCTCTAGAGGAAGAAGCCATGTCCTAATAAAGATTTGTACCTGAATGTTGAGCATCTTAATTAATATTAACCTGAAATTTGAAAAAATCCAAAGTTCATTTACAGATGAATAGATAAGTTATGGTATATTCAAACAGTGGAATACTACTCAAAAATAATAAGGGACAACTTAGTGTTACTGGCAATAATCTGGGTTATTCTGGGACTTCCGGCCAAGATAGAGGCGTAGGTGGAAACACGGTGCCTTCTTGCACGACCAAAATTAAGGACAACAAAGATTTAGAAACAAAAGCACAACCAGAAAAGACAGAAAATTGAACTGTATGGAAGTCTGACAACCATTCAACCAGACTGGTAAGAGGGGTGGAGTTGGCAGCTGATAGAGAGGGGTTGTGGCAGGAAAAGGCAGTGGCTGCCAGACCTGAGAGCCCAGGTGGTGCAGAGCTGACCACGGTCACACATTCATGCGCAGATAAATCAGGCAAAAATGGGCAGCAAGACAGACTGCGCAACCCAGGGTCCCAGCGATGGGAAATAAAGCCTAAACGCACTGATTGAAAAGGTGTCGGGAGAGACTCCCAGCCTCACAGGAGAGTTTGTTGGAGAGACCCACAGGGTTCTAGAATGTACACAAGCCCACCCACCTGGGAACCCGCATCAGAAGGGCCCAATTTGTGGGAAGTGGCAGAGGTGACCAAAATCCGAGAGAGAGCAGAGCAAGCACTATTGTTCCCTCTCTGACCCTGCCCTCAGTCATAACCCAGTGACTGGATAGACCCGCCCTGGTGAACACCTAGGGCTCCACCCCTCATACATAACAGGCAGGACCTGACCAAAAAATATGGCTCAAACAGAAGAACAAATCAAAGCCCCAGAGCCAATACTTTTAAGCAACCAAGAGATAGTCAACCTATCAGATGCACAGTTCAAAACACTGGTCATCAGGATGGTCACAGAACTGGTTGTTTTGGTCACAAATTAGATGAAAAAATGAAGGCTACACTAAGTAAAATGAAGGAAAATGCACAGGGAACCAATAATGATGAAAAGAAAATGGGCTCAAATCAATGGAGTGGACCAAAAGGAAGAAAGAAACAACCAAACAGAAAAGAATGAAGAAACAAGAATTCAAAAGAATGAGGAGAGGCTTAGGAACCTCCAGGACACCTTTAAATATTCCAACATCTGAATTATAGGGGTACCAGAAGGGGAAGACGAAGAGCAAGTGGAAAAGTTAGTTGACCAAATAATAAAGGAGAACATCCCCAATCTGGCAAAGGAAATAGACTTCTAGGAAGTCCAGGAAGCTCAGAGAGTCTCAAAGAAGGTGGACCCAAGGAGGAACACACCAAGGCACATCTTAATTACATTCAAGGTTAAAATGAAGGAGAGAATTCTAGAAGCAGCAAGAGATAAGAGGACAGTCACCTACAAAGGAGTTCCCATCAGACTGTCAGTAGATTTCTCAAAAGAGACCTTACAGGCCAAAAGGGGCTGGAAAGAAGTATTGAAAGTCATGAAATGCAAGGACCTACATCCAAGATTGCTCTATCCAGCAAAGCTTTCATTTAGAATGGAAGGGCAGATAAAGTGCTTCCCAGATAAGGTCAAGTTCAAGGAGTTCATCATCACCAAGCCCTTATTATATAAAATGTTAAAGGGACTTATCTAGAAAAAGAAGGTAAAAAATATGAACAGTGGAAGGACAGCAAACTCACAGTTATTAACAACCACACCTAAAACGAAAGCAAACTAAGTGGACAGCTAGATCAGGAGCAGAGCCACAGCAATGGAGATCACAAGGAGGGTTAGCAACAGGGGAGTGGGAGGAAGAAAGGTAGGGAGAAGGTACAGAGAATAAGTAGCATAGACAGTGGGGAGAAAATAGACGGGGAGAGCAAGAGTAGTGTGGGAAGAGCAAGAGTAGAAGCTAAAGAACTTATGACAAATGGACATGAACTACTAAAGGGGGGGAATGTGGGTGGGAGGGGGTGTGCAGGGTGGAGGTGAATGAAAGGGGGGAATGGGACAACTGTAATGGCACAATCAATAAAATGCATTAATAACCTGGGTTATTTCATATGTTGAAGGTAAGAAGCCAGAAGTGAAATATATATGTACATGTACATGAACTTCTAGAACAGGCAAAGTTAATCTATGGTGACAGCAGATCAATGGTTGCCTGCAATGAGGTCTTTTGTTTGGGGATTTTTTTATTGAATCAGAGGAACACAAGTGAATGTTTGGCGGGGGGTGGGGAGAATGGGGAAATTCCGTATTTTAATTTTGGTGTTATT